ATACTTAAAATAAGAATATTATTTCCATGGATTTATTGATGTAGAATAAAGAAAAATTATATTAAGTTTAGTTTAAGTAAAATAAAAAAAGTTTAAAAACTCTAAAAGCATTTCCGTATAAAGAAGAATTCACGCGCGTTCTTATGTAGTCATTGAACGTTGCAAGCACGTGTTATGCCATGTTATGCTACTGGTACGTGTGTTATACACTCATTTAAACCCCAAGCCACGTACATACCAAGCTTTCGATCCTACTAAAAAAAAAACCCCAGCAACGGAGCAACGACAACTGAATCTCTATTTTCAGAACTAACATCCTCCTCATATTATTTTTCATTCTTTCTTATTCCTTTTTATTACTCTTTATTCTTTTTAACATACCCACTTTTATCAAATCCAATTTGTTTTATTTTTTCTATATATATATATATATCTGCTCTATTTAAATCTTCCATCCCCTAATTTTTTTAATATTAAATTTTTTTTGGTATAAATAATTTTATTTATATTAATAATCAATATAACAAAATGTACCTATAATACTTTAGGGTAAATTTAAAAATTTGAAAAAATAAAACTAGAAAAATTATTCACACACTAACAATAATCCCCAGAGAAATTAACGGAACGCAATTGAAGTAAATTCCCCACGCGACTGCATGGGGACAGTATTAACCCATTAGAGAGTCACAATCATACTAAAGTTGACTCTGTGAAAATAGTTGCATGTGTTTCAATGATTTAAACTTAACCATTCTGTTGTTTTTGTTGTTGTTATTATTATTATTTTTTTAAATAATAATATTGATAAAAGTTGTATTACTCAAAGTATAAAATGATTGGATGTTGTACAGATGTATACTATTGTTGTATTAAAATTAGACTTGTACATTATACAAACAATTATTTCAAACTGTTGGTTTACTAGTCGCTTAATTACCGTCGAAATAATGAGCATTTTTAATTTAGTGAGACAAGAATTATTATTTTTAAATTGAATTTTTAATTAAATTTCAAATAAATTAACTATTATTATTATTATTATTATTATTATTATGTTATTAGAAAATAGTAAGGCAGTTGAAAGTTAATCAAAGTTAAATTTTTGAAATGTTTCCTGGGAACAATTTAGGTAAAAATAATAAAAATAACAAAAAAAGTTGTACTAATAGCAAAAATCTTTTTACTTTTTATCCTATTTACCTATTATAAAACAAAAATTTTAAGTAAGACAAGAGCATATCGTTTCACAGTGGGATGTTATTTTACAATCACCTATACCAGTTACCCTCGAGACTTTAAGATGTACTTTTATTATTTTTTTTTTTTATTTTACAGTTGATCTTCAGTCAAAACACATTGTTTTTTCATGTTACACAAAAAATTTCAATCGTATACCTTTGATGATAAAAATATTATTATTATTATATGACACCAATACAGTCAATAAATATTGATTTTATTTTTATACTTGATCAATATTAAACTAGACAATAAAAGATTTAAAGGTTAAAATGATAAATTATATTTTTCTAATTGTAAGTAAAGATGGATAAAACCGTCAAAAACAGTGAATTTCTGTCATCATAAATCATTAAACTAATCGGAATTGGCAATCGGATTTAAAACCTTATATAATATATCTATATAGATTTTTTAGTTTTAGATAACGGAGACTAAATATAAAAGTTTCTTTTTTTTTTTTTTTTTAATTATATAATATTAAAATATTATTAAAGTTTGTTAAGTATATATGTATATTAGTTATAACTTAAATGTTTATTCATTAAGATTTAGATTTCCCAAATGACCCATCAGACCTATCAGATCTTTTCAATTAAGTTTACCCATTTGAAATACCAATACTTATAAAAGTTGTTCATCCAGTGTTATCATTATAATTTGAATGAGATAACTAACAGTGAATTCACCCGATGATATAACTTTACACTAAATATTCAAACAATTGTAATTAAATTCCACCAAAGTTTCTCGATAAATTAATATTATTGTTATTATTATTATTATTATAAACGTCACAGTTAATGCAAAAATACTATTACACAATAAGTATATATATATATATATATATATTTAAATATTGATAATATAAATTAAATAATATATTTAACGATTATTTAAAACTGACGGAGATAAATAATGAGTATATCAGTATATAGGTACATATATATATATATATACATAAGTAAGTAGTATAAAGTTATAATAGTACGGCATTATGCAAAGGAGTAGTTTCTGGTCCCATTTGCCGAGAAACCAATATCGACAGCTTCAATTCCTCTTGTAAACTGTAATTGCATTTAATTGCTTTCAATTATATCAACATCAATCTAATCTAAATCCTCTTTAATCTCAATTTCCGAGTATTATATCTAGATACATAACCACCGATTATTTCATTATTATTTATTAAACTAAATAAATTAAACACTGCTACATCAGTTATTTTTATATATCGTTCATCATGCATTATCAAATTTATAATAATAAATAAATACTGTAAATGACCTTATTTGAAAATAATACATATAACAAAAAAATAAACTCAATAACACAATTTTAAGGATTGCCTAATATTTTTCTACCTCTGTTTTATTTTTATTTTTTTATTTTTTTATTTTTTTCAAGCCATAAGGTCTAATGTTAACGTGCGGCCACAAAGTGCTTGTTATAAATTTCTTTTTTTATACTCTTTACTCTTTCCTAGAATTATTTTATTTAACTTCCACTTGCGTATTTGTACATACAAACATCATATACCCAACAAATTGAAATGATAATAAACTTATTTTTCATTATTTTATTTTTCAGAGGGATTAAAACTTTTACTAATAAAAAGATTTTTCCTGTAACAATTAGAGTTGACAATTTATTAAATATCTGAAAAATAATCACCAACTTATTTCAGAGTATATACTATTGTATATAGTAGATATATATATATAAGGAAAAAATGAAACTGATGGTGATGGTGAGTTGGTTCTCAAAGGTAGTTGCTGGAAAATGTCATATCAGTTATACCCCAGCAAATAAATTTACAATGATGTGATGTAAAGGTATTGCGGGGCTTTTACATCAGAACATGTACTCCTGTATATGTGTTATTTAAATATTAAAGATTTGTTGTTATATGTTATATTATAAAATTTAAAAATAAATCGGCAACAAGTTTATCAACCGATGAGTATTAAGGTCAATCGATGAAAATAGTCATTTTATTTTTAACAAAACAAAGATAGTAGATTACTTGTAAAGATTGCTATATATACTTAACTGTCTGGATTCTATTATCTAAAGAGTCTGTGGAAGATTGGTGAAATTGAGTGGAAGAGCACAACAGTATAAAAGTTAAAAGTATTAAATAATGAAAATATAATATAATAATTTTGTGATACAGATGCTGATATCTATGTATACACTGGTGAAATAAATTAATTGTAAATTAAAGGATTTATTGGCAATCTATAAAAATAAAAATAACATTAGCATTTGAAATAAAATTTATCCATATACAATTTGATAGTTTGATAGTTTGGTAGTTTGGTAGTCTGCTAGTGGTATTTAACGTCTATCTAGGTAAGGTATAAAGTGCGCCTGTTGAAATGGCGTCACGCAATACGCCCGTTCAATTAATAGCTTCTCGTGCTACCAGATGTATAGATATCTTAAAAAAAAAAAAAAAAAAAAAAAAAAAAAGGGGGGAGGGTGCCTATATATCTTAAAATGATCAATTACTAAAAATAATTTTACATCTTTTTTTTTATTATAATTATAAAAATAAATTATTTTTTCTTTTTTTTTTTTATGAAAATATGTATTTAAAATTTTATCAATTATTTTCCAAAAAATATGCATTATATAATTAAAGTTTTTTCTCCAGCATCTTTATTGTTCTCTTATATTACAGATAGAGGATGAGGTGTATTATATAGGTATAGAAAATTTAAGTATCTATATATATATATATATATATATATATATATTCAGTGGAATAAAGAGCGTCGCGCTTAGTGGTTACATAAATTCATCCTCTCTCTGGCTTTAATGGACCACAAAATTATACGACATCCTAAAGTGGTCAACCAAGAATTTTATTTATGTTAAAATAGACTCTGTCGATCGTTATACTATCTATACATTCTACACATCTCATTTGTTAAATAACTCCCAAATTTTAGTATATTAAAATCATCATGCACTCATGGCAATTACTTATTATATAGTAATTGAAAAAAGCACTGTTTTTATTTTTTATATAATCATCAATAACATTTATTATGCAAATTAAATGACCTAGAAATATTGAACAAGCTCAGTCAATCGGAACCAAATTTACCGAGCATGTATTTACCATCGAATGATGTGTATACTATCAAGTGTGGAATAATATTTTATTATTATTATTAATTATTACTACACTCTAACAATTTTTTATATAAGTTTAAAATATTTATTTAATATATTAATATCGGTCAATCTTACTATAATATGATTGAATAATATTTAATTATCTTTTAATAAAATACTTGATACATAAATTTGTGTAAAAAAAAAAAAAAAAAAAAAAAAAAAAAATTATTGATAATTTTATTATGTGAGACTTGTATCTGTTTTATCTTGGTAATTCTACAATAGTTACTGATGATATATATGCGGTATCGAGAGAAGAAAACGCATATTATATACAATATCAGCTGCGCGTACATTCACTTTATCATCAGCTAAATATAATGAAAGAGTTTTATATTATCTACAAATAATAATGTTATTGAATCAAGGTACATATATATAATTTTGAAAAACAAATTAAATATAATATATTTCTTATTATATTTATATAATATATATTTAAAAAAATTAAATGTATCCATGCATAATAATTATATAAATTTAAATGGTATCATAATAATATAATATGCGGTAATTAATGTTTTGGTAAATTATATATTTTATTATTGAGATTATCGTCATCCATTAAATTAATCAAGTGTTAATGTAAGTTGATTTAATTGTATAATATTAAGAAGAGTTTCTATTTCTGTTGATTTTTTAACTTTTGGATATTCAATTGTTAAATAATTTAAAATAGATTGTCCTCGATAAAGTGTTGTTTCATCGGGAGTATTATCCGGAGAATCGATTTTTTGTTGAGTTATTAGAAAACATACCGGATTAATTGGAATATACAATGACCAGTGTACTACCGGTTTTTCATAATTATAATTATAATAGCTAAATGTTGTTGCCAATGCTGTTAGATATTTATTTGTAGTTTTATAAATTGAATTATCCTGAGAAATATTATTATAAGTTACATCAACAATATTTGTTGGATAATTATTATATATAAATTGTCCATTGTTATCAAAATTTAATTTATTTCCTTTTTTTTCATCTTCTAATTTTTTAATTATAAAATTTTGTAATTTTAAAACAAATAAATGATGGTGCCAAACAATTAATTTTTTACTTTCATGGTCATAATAATATTTTCCAACATATAATTTATCCCAAGTAAATTCATCTAATATTTTAGATTGATCTGGTAATACACCATCCTTTTTAAGTCTTTCTAAATCAATAGATAATTTAGAAGTTATATCTTTATCAGTTATCGATAAAGTCTTTAAATCTATATGGCAAATAAATTGATTATTATTAAATTTAAATTTGTTATCATCATACTTTAGACACAAAGCATAATAAATACCTTCTACTTCTCTAAAGGCTTTACCAATAATTTTAATATCATGATCATCAGATATTTTTTTAGGCGCAGTTGTTTTTACTCCAATAAATGAATAATATTCTCTACTACTAAGATTTAATTTTTCTGTATTGGAGGTTTCATTTATATATTTATAAATATTACCATTAAAAATGATCCAAAAGTCCACACCTTTAAGTCCATAATCATTAGATATAATTTTAATATCATAATAATCATTAACGTTTTTAGCAGATGATGATATTTCATCATCATCATTATCATTATTGTGATCAGGATCAGGAGGGGATTTTATTGTTGAGGATATTTCTGTCATTAAATTAGAGGCTGATAAATGAATTATTTTAGAGCTGAAATCAATAATATTATTCGGAGATTCTGATAATTCTTTTTTAGTAATCAATGTCCATTTTTCTCTATTATCTTTGGTTAATATATAGTGAAATTTATTAGGCAATTTAATATCATTTAAATTTTCATAAAATTCACGTAAATTATTTGTATTATTATAATAAGTAAATTGTCGATCATTTTCATTAATTTTAATCTGTGTTGTTGGTAATGACAGATATGAAAATTTTTCAAATAGTTGAGGAAATTTTTCATAAAACCAGTTATCAAAGGAAACTCTTGAGAGTTTAGTTTTTTGTAAACCTTTTGTTAATTCTGATTTGTATTTAAATCCGTTAATTGTAGTTTGTTTAGCAACATTATCATCAGAATAATAAACATATTTATCATCTTTTTTACATTGATATGAGTTGTCACTTAATTTAATAATTCCATTTTCACCACAACATTCAATTTTTCGTTTATTAGACAAACAATGATAAAATGAATGAGGATTTGTTGTAAAATAATAATCAATATTTGGTCGACAGTCATCTATTGGTTTACAAATATCATTATTATGAATAGATAATTCATTACATTCATATCCTTGTTGACAATGAAATTTTTTACTTTTAGTACCAATGCATTTATAGTACTCGTTTATTTTAAGGGCTTGGCTGAAAATATTATTTATACGATAAGCATGACGTGTACCGTCAGGATAATTTTTACAAATATCATATAATTCACAGGGTTTAATAATTGAATTATTATTATTATTATTATTATTATTATTATTATTATAATCAGTTACATCTTTAAATGCATTTTCATTAACTTGTTCATTTTCTTTATAGCAAGCTTCAATAATTGGTTTTTGTTGTAAAGATGAACACCTTATATATAAACGTGGATGAGGATTTTCACCTGTTAATATTGTAATTGGAGTTATTGATGGATTATCTATTTCACTGTAGTATCGATCGTAAAGTCGTATTACTGAATCATTATAATAATTACAAATAGGCTTTTCAATACATTTATTTAATTTTATATCCCACTTGTAATCCTTTGGACATGTAAACGATTGTTTTATTCCCCGTACTTTGAAACCTTCTTCCTCATATGTTAATTTAAAATTTGATTCTAACATAAGTTTTGCAGGTACACCATCAAAATCAACTGGATAATTGAATTCTTTTTCTTGATAAGTTAAATTATCGGTATGACTTAACACGTATACGCTATACTTTCCTTTATCCTTTTGTTGGTAGGTATAATATTGTGGTTGGTTGCCAATTTCTTTGGCTATTACTTTTGATAATTCTTCGGGTTTTAATTTTTTACCTCCATATTTTTTAATCGGATGTCTATTGTAGTAATAAACAACCGATACCAAAGTAATATTTAACAATACAAATATTATTCCACATATTATTTCGTAAATAGTTCTCATTATTCAATATAATCAACAATAATTTTTATTTTTTTATTTTATTTTATAATCTCTTACTATTATCATTATTAATCATTAATATATTATTTACGATAACTTAATGGTATTAATAATAATCAATCGTTTAAAATAAATGTCCTATTTTATTTTTATCATTGCACTTAAAGTGTTGTGTTATTACGTGACAATAATTATTATTTAATTTGTCTACGGTAAAAAAATATTATCTATTAGACGTGATGAGACAATTTAACTGATCCGTATATTGTATTGTATTATATTTAAAAATTTTATCACTAATATAGCTTAAATAGTTAAAAGTTATATTACATTATACAAAGCAGGATTTAATTTTCGTAAATTGTACGATTTGGATTTAATTTAATAATGAAAAATAAAAGTTTTCAAGTATAGTATATATTGACATGTATCTGGAATAAGAGTCATATCATCACTGAAAGCGATCATCTTATAGTGTAGTTATTTGGTGTTGACCAGTCTGCGCGGCGTCGCTGGTACTGCCGAGAGTAGTTACACGAATACACGTACCACCAGTTCAGTTTAACTTCTCGCCATACTAACACCTTTTATCACTTCAGTCTAATTTTTTAATTTATTTAAATTTTTTTTATCACAATTAATTAAAATAAAATATTTATTTTATTCAAATAATCAAGTTATTAAATATTTACTATTTAATAAGTGATTTTTTATAATAAATATATATAAAGAAATAAAAAAATAAAAAAAAAAAAAAAAAAAAAACAACAACAAAAACAAAGTGGTTTTAATAAAGTCCACAGTTTCTTCTTGTGTTATTTTATTATTTTTTCATTTTAAGGTAAATATTTTTCTTTTATTTCTTATTAAAGTTGATAATTTTAATAATAAGTAATTGTTGTGTTAATCGAATTACCAGAATTATTATATATGTATATATTATTGGGGTCAAATAGCAAAATGATACGGGTCGAAGGTTTTATTTAAATAAATTTTTCTCAAGTAATTAAATTGAATAAAATTATTTTTATATATTAAATTAATTTATATTAATTATTCTATTGAGTTTTAGATATCTATTTATTTTAAATATTTCAACTTAATCATTTGTCTATAAATTAACCACCGTTTGATACTGATAATCATTCACCTATATAAATTGACGCACTGAATAAATAAATAAATAAATAGGACGGTTACTCTATACATAAAATATTATATTCAAAATTTATTACACTTTATTATAGGTCAATTTTTTATTTATTACTATTCCCGTTTATAATTAAATAAATAATAATAATTAAAAGTTTGTTGACTCTTGGTAAGAATATCAATGAAAAGATTTTTGATATTTTTATAAAACTATTTAAAGATTATCAAAAATATTTAAGCATCTGGTGATAATTATCCAAATATAAGTTTTATCATAATTAAATAAGTTTATTATAAAAAATTATTTTATCTGTATTAAGCGTTATTTATTTAAAATTAAAAAAGAGTTTGTAATTTTTTTTATTCTTTTTACAACTTTCAATAAATGGTATTCGAGTTTTCAGTATTATAGATATATATTATATATACATATAAAAAAAATACAAAAGTCGAGATTGTCGACAACAGAGCCGTCTCCTTCTTAATATTAATCACCATTTCTATCCTTTACTTGAATTAATAGCTTTTCAAGAGAAAATCCCAATATAACTTCCTTTTTTGGTATGGAATTTTATTATCTGTATCTAATAATAGATATGTATATAAAATAACGTTACTCTTTATTAAAATGAAAAAAAAAAAATACATAGTTTTATCCATTATGAATATAATAATATTAACAAATGTAATCCTTTGCTGAGTCATAAATTAATAATAATTTTTTATTTTTCAGTAAGTCTATAAACAGACAGAAAAGAAAAATAAGGAAAAACGAAAAGAGTAGATGAAAAAAGGAAAAAGTTATTTAAAAGCAATATTAAATGATTAATTTTTATTCAAGAGAACAAGAGATTTAGTGAGTTAATTGACCAGACAAGCACGCGAGGTAGTAACTTTATTAAGAATAATAAAATTAAATGAGGGTTAATTATTTAAATAATTATTTTAACGAATAAGTATACCGTATAACTCAATGAACTCTTTTGTAATAAAAAATTAATTGGCGTAATGCCAAGGTCAGATTATAATTTACTTGAACCATTATCGTCATCATGGGTATCGTTGTACCAGCACCCTCATCAACGATGATGATATTAAATTCGACAAATAATAACAATAATAATAATAATAATAATAATAACAAGAGTAACGTAATATTGTTTTTACCTTTATGTAATGACAATAACAATAATATAGTTAAAAATAATGATGATAATGTCAGCATTAGTGTCCACAGTGAGCGAAATATATATTTTTTATTAAAAAATATGACTACTCAAGATGGTGGTGGTGGTGGTGGTGGTGGTGATGATGATAATGATAATTCAATTTTAAATTTAACATGTCTGGATCACGCACCGAATTTGACTAATCGAGCGGTTATAAAAGCTGTAGTACTTGGTATTATGGCGGGATTTAGTTTAATTGCCAATGCTATAACTATATACTCTATTATTAAAAATCGACGAAAGCATAATCAAGGATATTCTGCTATTTACACACTGATATTACATTTATCTATTGCTGATTTATTGGTAACGATATTTTGCATTGCCGGTGAAGCATTGTGGAGTTACACTGTTGCCTGGATATGGGGAAACATCACATGTAAATTATTCAAGTTCTTGCAGATGTTTAGTTTATATTTGAGCACATTTGTCTTAGTCCTTATTGGATTGGACAGATTTCTTGCTGTTAAATACCCAATCAAGAGTCTTAACAAAATAGATCGATGCACCAAGCTTGTACTTATTACCTGGATTATTTCATTTATTCTCAGTATTCCTCAGGTAAATCTATTCAATTATTTTATTAGATACAATTTATATCAAACAAAAATTTAACTCTCATCATTAAATTTTCAAAATTTCATTATTATATTTAATTAATTTAATCCTTAAAAATAATTCATAACAACAGAGATTATTTGATGAGACGTTTTTTTTTTTCTTGACAATAATATAAAAAAAACCTGTTTGGGAAGATGATTATTATTCACACAGTTACTTTTATTTGGTATATTCTTTCGAAGATTATTATTTTATGAATATAACAGTGACGTGCAAAAATAAAACAAAAAAAAAAAAAAAAAAACGAGGAAATATTTTAACAATAAATATACTATATAAATAATAATTTAACATTTATAATTATAATTACCCTTATATATGTGAGAGCTTTTTTTTTTTTAATGACCAGTAATGTTAATAGAGAGTCATTTATTTTCATTATACGTATAATAATAGGCTGTAATCCGTTTTTAAATAAAAATTGCCTGAATACTAATTTAATGATAAAAAAAAAAAAAGAACATAATAATTCCTCTCGTGTTGGGTGATTTTTATTGACCCGTCTGATGGTCTGGCGGACGGATTGGCATTTATTCAGGTTAAAATTATAATTTTCACAGCGCTATCAGCAAAAACAATGTCATTTTTTAATTTTAAATCAATTTTGTTTTTTTTTTTTTTTTTTTTTTTTTTTTTTTTAATTGCTTCCTGGAGGTTTGGAAATAAAGAAAAAATTTTTCCTTATAATAATTATAAGATTTAAAAAATGACCTTTTGTAAGAATTAAAAAGTATGAGACTTACCAGATGGTTTAAAGTTTAAATTAATGGACTATAAGTATAATTTATCTAAAAACATAACGAGGGTAAAATAACAATGCTGCAGAGCTAAAGTTACATTGAATAAATTTAATCGTATAGTATTTAATAAAAATATAAAAATGCAGATCGAGTAATAATAATAGTCTCAATAATGTATCAATAGAGTCGTAATTCAACATCAAAATCCAGAACCATAATCCATAATAAATAAGGTATCTATCTATCTATTCAACCCTTGTACGCATATCAATTCAAATTCAGCATAAATTCAATAAATCATTTATTCAGAACCGTATCGGTAATTTTATTATTTCCAACAAAACGAAATATCACTCTAATGCATACTTTATTGTCATTTTAAACAATTGTCCAAGGTGCATCTATTAAATTTTATTTATTAACTCATTAGAGTCCGGTGATTCCATTATACTTTTATTTTATTTTTTCATCAGTGCAAAGATCACTAAAAAATTGAATCCGCTTTGTCAGATTTAAATATAGAGGAAAAAACAAATTTTTTTTCTTTTTTATTTTTAAAAATAACTTGATTTGCTCTTGAGTATATATGTATATAAATTTTTTTTTTTTTTTTCTGATTGATGACAAATAGAAAAAACCGATATTAATCTTAAAGTGGCATATAAATTTATAATAACTAATTTTTCAATGAATAAAAATTTTTATTATTTGCTAAAACTTGTAATTTGTAAGAGATTAAAAGGTATAAAGAGATTTAGAGCGACTATAAATTTTATTATTATTGTTATTCAGCTGGGACATTGACCGACAACTTTATATCCGACGATGACATTTGCAAATATAAGAAAAAAAAAAAAAACTAGATAAAAATAAACAATGTATTGATTAAATAAATAAAAATGAAAATAAGAATTAATAAATATACATATTTATATTAAAGCCTTGACGCAATTAATATAATTTATTGTGATATCAAATGTCTTTTGACCCCCAGTAGCGGCGGTGAATAACAACACTTTAATCATTTTCATAATAATTTTTTATTTTTATGTGACACGTGTCACTATTTTAAATAAATTAAATATTATTGTTATTATTATTATTAACCAAGTAAACAATCCATTTAAATTTTAGAGAAAAAAAATTAAAACTATAAATTTATAATAGAGATTGGTAGAGCATATTGTCCCCGCTAAAAATTTATACATATATTCTATTATGTATAACAAATTATCTATCATATACATCAGCCTATATACATGATAGGCTTATTAAAATAGACTCACGAGACTATTTATAACTTTTAGTTAAAGAGTTTATTATTATAATGTATAATATATTTATCATGTTTTGTAGAAAGAAAAAAAAAGGTTTAAATGTTAATAAGGTTGTCGGAAGTATTTTACAGTGGATAGAAGGAAACTCTTAAACTTAATAATATTAACTTTTGTTGTTATAATAAATTTATTTATCTTGAAACATAAATTTCCATTCTTTAAAATAAAAATAATGTTAACGTTATGAATTCTTGATATATTAATTTATATTTGAGTGTATTTTTTAATAAAAATATCAATAATACTACTTACATCCACCATTAAGATAAAATTAAAATTTTATTTAAATGAAAAAGACATTAAGGTATACTCTATCTTGTCTTGATTTGTTATTTTTCAATTTGTCCTTTGTTCTTGACTAGACTCTGAGGTGATAAAATAATATATGCACCTCTTGTTATTGCTCTTATTGCTCTTATACAAATGGAAAAAAATTTAATAAATATTCAATGCATAAAATAAAATGGCAAGTACTTATTACAGCATCAGTCTTCCTACAAAATTTTATTCAAAGGAGTAATAATAATAAAATAATAAATAGAATTATTTTACGGTAATATTTTATAAAAATATCAAATACATTGTCAGAAAAAAAAAAAAAAAAAAAAAAAAAAAAAAAATGTTATAAAGTGTATAATAATGAGAAAAACAAACTGTACTATCGGATAATTAATGATAATTTAATAATTTAATCGAGTGTCCATTAAATTACCCGAAGAAACTCCTAAAAAATGATACAAACAATTATCTTTTTTGGGTTCTTTATTTTCTTTGTCTTTTTTAACTCTCTTTTTTTTATTCTCCTTTTTAATTTTCTTTGATTTATCAGTCTTTTGAGAATCATTTCCAGTGGATTTTGGAACTATTTTACGTGCTGGATTTGTCGGACATTCGCAGGATGTAGAGCGTTTTTTCTTACCAGTTTTTTTAGACACTTTAATTTTTTTACTACGTCTTTTACTTGTACTTTTGCTTCTACTTCTTTTTCTGGTTTTACTTTTACTTTTACTTCTACTTCGGGTTTTGCTTTTGCTTTTACTTCTACTTTTACAAGTTAATTTATTAGCGCTTTTGGTAATTCTCTTTCCTTTGGGTTTTCTGGATCTTGATCGCCTTGAATTGCTTTTGGATCTCTTTTTTCGAGAACGTGAGGTACTTCTGGATTTAGATTTTCTAGCTCTGCGATTTCCACCGGGCGGACAAACACAACTCTTACCTCTTTTAATCGTTGAATTTTTTCGTCTACTTCTACTGGTGCGTTTATTTCCACTTTTAGAGATACTTTTTCCTTTTTTCTTTTTTTTCTTCTTATTCTTGTTCCTTTTTCCACGACTCGATTTACCTATTATTGAATATTATTATTATTATTATTATTATCATTAAAAATAACGGTATTATAATTATAATTAAAAATAAATTACATGAATTACTGGACGTCAGACTTTTTTTTGGACGAGAGATTTTTCCTTTAACTGTTTGTTTAGAAGAACCTCGTAGTCGACGTTTCCGTTCCAATCGACGTTTTCTGCAATTTAAATTCAAAAGACCGAGCTCCTGATTTGTTAATTCGAGACATTCTTTTTCGGTGTCTGTCAAAATATTGTAACGACCACAAGTTTCTTTTAATAATCCATATGAAGTACCGCGTTTCAATGCCACCAAAGCCTTAAATATAATTTATTATTATTATTATTATTATTATTATTAATTAATGATGATAATATTAGTGATAATACATACTTTACGCTTGGTAACATCTTTAGGGACATTATAAACGGAGGATATATAATTGCAAATATCATGCGGACTGGCTCCTTTTCGTTCTTCTAAATTTTTCAAAGCCGTCACCGCCAATGTCAGCGTAGTTGACAGTTTTTTTGACATATTATTTGTTGTTATTTGTCTAATTATGTACTTTTTTTATTAATTTTAATGCATTTTTATGTAAATAATTATTTATAATATATTGAATCGGCCTCAAGCTATGTTAATACTATAATTTAAGTTATTTTTTTTTAATTTATCCATTTATTTATAATTATACAAATTTACTAATTAATTTTAATATTTCAACTACCTGAAATTATACACGAGAAGAATAATTATAATTATACGACATTCATTTATTCAAATAATAAAATACACTTACATAATTGCACGCATATACATATTGTATACAATATCATTTGTTATAAATATAAGTATACTTAATACTTGTTATACAGTAAGTAAGTAAGTAAGTAAGTAAGCGTACGATTGAAATATTAGTCAGCAGGTCAATATAAATTTACTTATTATATATATGACACTCGGCGTCTGGAGTGCAATAAATAAAATTAATAATAATAATAATAATGACATGAATGAATGAATGAATCAAGGTCACGAATCGTCACCGCTAACAAGAGTAAAAATTATATACCACTATAAATACAAAAATAACAAAAAAAGAAAGCAATATTATCTGTGGGTGTTGTGCACATGTGTGTCTTTTTATTGATAATAAATTTGACCCATTGCTTTAAAATAATAATAATAATAATAATAATAATAAATATCAATTCCAGCTAATAATATTTCATGTAGCACGTGGCCCTTTTATTGAGGAGTTTTCTCAGTGCGTAACTCATGGATTTTACACTCACGTCTGGCAGGAACAACTCTACACTACTCTAAGTCTTATTTTTATGTTCATATTACCTCTTACTGTACTTGTCGTTACTCATGTATCAACAGTTAAAACAATATCACGTACGTATACATATATTATTTAATTTAATAAATAATCAATAATAAAAATTGAAATCTAATAATAATAATAATAATAATAATAATTTTAGGAAGTGAAAAATCATTCAAGTCTGAGGCTAAAAATAATAATAATAATAATAATAATAATAATATTAAAAAAAATTTAATAACCGGAGATTTAAATCGACGTAGACTAATGCATCGGGCTAAAATAAAATCCTTGCGAATTAGTATTGTAATTGTGACGGCTTTCGTTATATGTTGGACACCTTACTATATAATGATGATAATATTTATGTTTCTCGATCCCGATGAACACGTAAGCCACTAATAATCCTCTTTATAAATAATCATTTAAAAAATAAATCAATCAATAGGAATAAAATTTCAATAATTAATTATGTTTTTTTATTTTTATTTATTTAATTTTTTCTGACTGTTTAAATCTCTAAATTAACATTGACGTACTTGATTTATTTACATTATTATATTATCATGCAATCAATCTATCTAGCAGTATCAGACGTTAATATAAAATAAAATTTTTTTAGCTAAGCCAAGATTTGCAAAGTGGAATATTTTTCTTTGGTATGAGTAATAGTCTCGTAAATCCAGTGATATACGGAGCATTTCATCTCTGGCCGCAGAAAAAATCTCATCAAAAATTTTGTCAGAGGTGAATTAAATCGAAATTTATTATATATACATAGACGCTATATTTAATTAAATACAGAGTAGATAAATTTAAATAAAATAATAAATTATATTTTTTATATCTATATTAGAAAGGGTTCAATGATACACCACAGGAGCACAACAACCCACACAAATTTTACATTGCTGACACGGGATTATAGCACACGTGTTATTATTCGGAATCCCGGTGAGTTTTCTGCTTCGACAGAAACAACCATAAAACAACCATCGGATAACTTTAATGAAATATCCCGTCCAATTCAAGAGACAGTACTGGATACGTT